AGGTCATGAAACATTTCTGCTGACATTGATGTTAAATGCTAAATTCTTTCTCGCTTTGTACTCTGAAGTAGCCTGGCTCTCTGAGCAGCTGCCTCCTGCCCTGCCCTACCAGGAGTTTATTTACCAAACTAATTGCAGTGCCAGCGTGGGCAGAGTTGGGAAATGGGGTTGGCGGGGAACCACCATTCCCAGAATTCCCGGCCAGAAGAGAATTGGTGGCCGTGGCAGTCTGGAATCTGCAGTCCAAAAAAGTAAATTAATTACGGAGGTTACCTCGCAGTTTGTTGTTACGGGCTATGAAGTTGGAACTGACTTATAGAGATCCTAATAGGGCTTTCAATATAAGTGGGATATTTAAGGAATGTTTTTTTTCCCAGTTCTACTCTCTCAGCAAGTTTCCATGGTGGACCAAGGGGTGGCCGTGGCAGTCTGGAATCTGCAGTCCAAAAAAGTAAATTAATTACGGAGGTTACCTCGCAGTTTGTTGTTACGGGCTATGAAGTTGGAACTGACTTATAGAGATCCTAATAGGGCTTTCAATATAAGTGGGATATTTAAGGAATGTTTTTTTTCCCAGTTCTACTCTCTCAGCAAGTTTCCATGGTGGACCAAGGATTTGAACCGGCTTTCAATGTAAGTGGGATATTTAAGGAATGTTCTTTCCAGTTCTACTCTCTCAACAAGTTTCCATGGTGGACCAGGGATTTGAACCCATGCCTTCTGAGTCCTAATCCATCACTCTTTCCATTAAACCACAGTGGGTATCCTTAACTCACAATAACCAGACTTAATTCTCAATGTCTACCTGGAAGTAAATGAGTTTGGGTAGATTCAAAAACTGTGATTAATGTCGTTTTTAGCAACATCAATATTTTTTTACTCCTGCTGGTGCTTTTCAAACTGTTTCTGAAGTGAGACAGGGTAGTGTATGTTCCAGTAAAGAGATTCCAGAATTCAAACCAGCATTTGACTGTTTATGAGATCCCTCATCTTTAAAACAATGCAAGCTTCTGGCCCTCATAGGTCTGGGAGTAATGTAGTCTTACTTTCCTACATGCATGGCTCACATCTGGAAATGAAATGGAGATGGTTGTAAATATTAAAAGTTGCAAATGGATAGCTCTGTGGATTAGTTCTTTGGCTGTGGAGCCGGAGGTTGGGAGTTCGATTCCCCATTGGGTCTCCTTGAGACGGGCTGGACTCCATAGGGTACCCTCAAGCTCTGTAGTTTCATCATCATCATCATCATCATCATCATCATCATCATCATCATCATCATCATCATCATCATCATCATCATCATCATCATCATCATAATTTAGAATTGACTTTTGTATAACGAATTTTAAACTCAGCCTTAGAAATTTGTCGGCTTTGTTTTGGTTTGTGATAGATACACAGTGAGCTATCGTGGCAGTGTATATGTTTTTATTTATTTGTTCATTTGTTGCATTTTTATGCTTCCTTTCTCCTGATACAGCATCAGACCAAGACCCAGGAGGCCTAGGTTCAAATCCTCGCTTGGCCGTGGCAACTTTCTTGGGAAATGCCAATGGCAAACCACTTCTTGAACATTGTCCATACTTTAAGAAGCCTATTAGGGCTGCCACAGGTCCAAAACAACTTGAGGGCAGATAACAGTCATATACTATACAGTGTTTGAAGCCTGATGTTCTAACTGCTGGAGGTAAACATGCAATGTGTCAGTTATCAAGTAGTATCAAATCTAAAATATTATTGTATGCTAACAAGCGAATAGAAACAGCGCTGCCTGGAAAATATCAAGTTGTTTGAAATTCTAAATACTGTACCTTTGGTTGCCAATTATCAAAAACAAAATGCTGTTGTTTACCAGCTATTATATATATGATTTATCTGTTCATCAAAACCATATCTTCCTGATGGAACTCTTGAGATCCAAATAAAAGAGGCATTGCCATATGTTTAATACTTTCCAGAGCAAAGCTCGGAAGAGTTACATTTGTTGGATGATGACTCCCACTTAACCTCACGGCCATGCTGGCTATGGCTTTCTGGTAGTTGTAGCTCAAGTAACTTGTCCAAGTTTTACTCTTAGCGGAATGAGCAGCTTTGTAGAGGATCAAAATATGAGCCAATGAGGTGGAAGGAAAGAAATGTACCAGTCATGCAGGAGCATTGCATGCAGGCAATGAGCTTACTCCCTTTGTGACATCACCAGGCTGTGTGATGTCACAATCCAAGTATTTGTGTGTGAGAGAGCTTTGCACGCAAAACTTTATATATTTGTACCCATTCGGGAGGCATGCAGCTTGACATGATGCAGGTAGAGGAAAAGGCGAGGAAGGTAGGATTTGGAAATATCAGCTTCTGGACAACTATACTTCATTAAACTGAACAATACATTAGCTGTATTTCTAAGCAAAGAAAAGTCTAAAAAATAGGCTTTACCGACCTTGAAAATATAGTAATTTAAGAGCCTGCCTTTTATAGTTCAGAAAATGTGTTTATTCAGTTCGCCATGATATGCTGTGTCTGGCAATGGCTGCACAGTGGACGGCTAGAATCCAGTAATTTAAGACTGTGATCTTAAGGGTCTTGCAGCCAGCTCCCCTGTTTGAGGATCCAATGTTGCTTCACAGATTTCAAATGACGATGAACCTGCTGTGTTGGAGGGCGGTCTTCCTGATTATTTTGAATGAAGAGGGCCCTCAACCACGGCTACCTTAATGGCACAACTAACTGCTCTTGATAACATCAGCAGCCCTTAGTTAATGAGGTGCAATTTGCCTCTGAGACTAGCTTGAATTTCCTCAAGCAAGTGTTACATGGATAACAGGATTCTGGCCACTATCGTCTTCTGGAAAGAGGTTGAACCTGGAGGGACCTTTAGAAGCTCACCCTCAAAATGACCAAGTCTATAGCTAGTATGGAGCCATGGTGGGCTGTCCCTTTTTCATCATGACTGGGGATTCGGCTTTCTTGCCTAGCAAACCTTCTGCAGCTGTAGAACCCCAAAGAGGTTCTTATAAAAGGAAATGGACTCAAATTAAATCAGAAGTTGGCTTCTGCGTGTGGTAAATGAGGGAGAAACAATGCCACATCCCACCACTAACAGTGTCTTCCCTTCCAGTTTCTTTTGAACCTTACTGGTTCTGTTTAGGGTCTCAATGCTTAAGACAGGATTAAGGTTTTCCACTATAGACATCATTTGTTGACATGACTGTTCATGCTATTTAATAAGTCTATTCCTCTCGAAGGGGCCACAGATCTAATTTAATTTGCCCACAAAGACATTCTTGTGTTTCCCAGAAGGGAAGGGTCTTTGCAGTACAACCTGAACTTAACGAGTTAACCATCAATTATTTTTTAGCACCCTGGCTACTGGCAATGAGGTACTTTTGGCAAATGAGAATGAAGTCCCTGCCTTGGTATAACAACTCACGTTTTCTAGCCAAAATAAGGGCCTTTTGGAGACATTTCGAAAGGATTTTTCAAAAAATGTTGTAATGCCATTTTCTTATGAATGAGGAAGTGGGAAGTAACCAATAGTCACCAAAAAGGGACCCTCTTTTCCCCATGGCAAATAAAGGACCGATGTTGCCAATCCAGAGGAGGAAAAAATGCTCAGGGAAAATCCATTTCTCTCCCAGATCCTGTGAGGGTGGCAGCTTAGCTCTGAGAGGATGGAGAAACCTGAAAGGAAGATACAAAAGCCAGTGATATTTTAATCTTCCTTCTGTTCTTTCCTGCACGATCCGCAATACATTTGGTGCGCAGCCTTGAGGAAGACTAGCATGGATCAAAAGCTAGCAATTGATTCTTTCAACAACAACAAAAAAATGCTAGTGGTCTAATAAATGCACCACCCTGCTTTTATACACTGGCTCTCACTGACTTCACACCTCCGGTTCTGCTGTTTTGTGGTGAACCTGCCACTGCGGCTTCGGGTTTTATCCACCCAATTGTTTTTAACTTCTAGTTGTGCCTTTGTAGTTTCGACGGTATTTGTTTTATTCGTGACTGCGGTAAACCAACCACCAAGATCATTATATATTTATTTATTATGTGAGGCCGACAAGGCTTTTGTTTGTTTGTTTCCTGAAGGGAGGATGGTTGAGTGAGGATGATGCCACAGCTCCTGATCCTGCTAGCCTGGGCGCCCCTGGATTGTGGCATGGGTGTGACTGAAATCACAGAACGAGACTCCAGTGGGAGTTTGTGAACTTCACAGGCTTTCTGGCTGCTGACGAAGGGGCTTTCTGCATATTTTGCTTTTTCTTTCTTCTCTCTCTCTCCTATCCCCCAAAAAACTACAATGTATTTTGTAAATGGTTTTAACAGGATGCTTTAATAATTGGACGGCTTCCATTGTAACCCTTTAAGGTTATGTTTTCAGCCTGGCTGCTTGCCTTAAAAATTAGAATAAAATAAATGCCTTGAGGTGCAGACCTGGGAAAAGGGATATAAATAAATATATGTATATTCAGAGAGCCCCACTCTCTGTTCACTGAAGGGTCCAGAACTGGAGAGGGTACAATCCCAGAGCTTGGAAAAGTCATTTTAGGCCCCCAATTACCCCAGGAATGCGGGTGGACCTTTCTGGTTTCTGTACAATCCTCTCTACTGCCCTTCCTCCCCGCCAAGGAAAAGGGGATAAAGTTTGGAAGCCCGGCTTGCCCAGCCTTGGGTCCCCCTCAGATGCTCTTGGACTGCAACTCCCAGCAGCCCTCAGCGCCAGCTGCGCTGGCCAGGATTTCTGGGAGTTGTAGTCCAAGGTTGGGAACCCCGGGTTTACAGGCTTTGCCATCCATCCCCACAGAACCCAAAACGCGCAATTCCTCCTGTGGGAAAGGCGGCTCAATGTGGTCCCGCCTTCGGGGCCCGCTTCAGAGACTACACTCCCCGGGGCGCTTGGCAACCAAAGGCCGAGGGGCCTTCTGGGAGTCGTAGTCTTCTTCCCCCGCCGGCCCCGCCCCCTTCGC